ACTTAATCTTTTAAACATACAAACATAAATAAAGCGCTCAAAAGTGAAATTTCTTAGTGGGTCTTTCAAACATTTCCATAGTATTTAAATGGTGCAGGATTAATCTATCTTTCTTACTGCTAACAACATGATAATTTTCAAAATGCTGTCATAAGTTACACACTTTTGCTCTATCTTAGAAATTTCATTGAGAACTTGCCTAACAAACAAAATGATCATAATTAGAACATAATAAAGTCAGTCTCAGATGGATGAAACTGTTTGGAACTGTTAGATGTGAAAATAAACCCTTTGATCAAAATAACAGCAGCATTTATATTTTCCTTGAGGTAAGAAAGATTAAAAAGCCACAATCAAAAATTGGAGATATTTGCAAATCTGCTGGGAAAGTCAGCTGAAAGATTTAGTCAGGTGTCCTTTTAGATTGATTGTGTGCCTTAGTAATCACATTTTCTGGCAGGAACAATAAAAATGATGGATAACACTTTCTATCAAAGGGGTAATCTGCTACATATTTTTACTAATAATTTAAATCAATAGGAATACAGAATGGACTCACCGAAGGGACGTCCAATATCATTTCCTCCACAGTTGCTAAGTCTAAGCCTACCCTCGCACTGAGAACGTCAAATATGTATTTATATGAAGCATTAATTTTTGCTCTTCGATCTTCTCTTGCTCTTTCATATTGAATCTAAAACATTAAGCAAGACTTTCAAGCTAAAAATACACAAAGTAATCACAACAATGACCTGCTACTTAACTTGCAGATAATGTTGAAATCTACTGTCTTGTATTTACAGATACAAAATGTCCTAATTTTACAAATACCTAAATTTTCAGAGGCTAACTGGAGAACAAATTATTAAGTATTATTATAAGATGTGAAGTCAAATCTGAGGATTTTTCAAGGAAAAACAAACATTAAGAATATTACAGTTAGATTTTAAGATTTTTACGTGACGTTAACTGGCTTCCTTGTTCACAATCAAAATTTCAATTTATTAAATTAATACAGAAAGGTTAAAACATCAATTTAAAATAAAGTATCTAGGGTGGGTAAATATTTGCAGGAACTAAGGTGAGCACAGCTTTGCTTCTATGTAAATTATTCAGCTAATATATCCTGCCTCTAACCTCTATTAGTTTAAAATTTTAAAATATTAAAAACATGGAAAAAAGTACTTTTTGCCAGAAACAATTTAGTAAAAGAACTGAGTCTAAACAAAAATGAAATCAATAAATAAAAGATTTAAACTAATTATTAATATAAACTGAATTTAATAATCTGAGGAAAGAACTAGAAACTTATTACCTTTTTTGCTTTGTGACTTTGCACGCTCGGAACGCCACTAGGGCGGTAAATCTTAGAAAAACTTTGACTTCGACTTCCAAGAGAACGAGACGAAGAGGAAAGGCTCGCTAATCGGTGGACTGTCACAGAAGGTACATCATCTGCACTGCCTGAACCTCTTTTAGTATTTTTTTGTGCTCCCGCCATTCTAAAATCTGAAATTTGAAAAGAGAAGATTATGTTTTTAACAATCCAAACATTTCAAGTCTACCTTTTGCAGAAGACAGGAGCATCTCAAAACTGACTTTCCAGGTATATAAATTCAATAGCCTCACTGAATCCTCTTCCAGTTTTTAAAATGCCAGACATTAAATACATTTTTATGATAGGTTACAAACGTCAAGATGAAGATTGAGACATTTTTTAAAAACAATTTTTCATACACATGCGTTTTGTGGAGTGAATGCCTCTCTATAAAACAAATATATTTTACAATATAAATAATTTCAGTGCATATCTAATTACTGAGAAATAGAAATTGTTTCAAACACAAATGACTTATTTAAATTTTAGTTTCTAAAATATATACCCAAATTCAGCAACTTAGAAAAGACTTGCATACACAGAAATTGCTATTTTGCTCAGTGTACTATTACAATAAGGATCAAGATAACTATCAAGAATTCCTTAGCAGGTAATATGAGGCCTAAAGGCAGCCTACCACTGCTGTAACAGTGTTATATACTCTCTTAGACATTATTACCTGATGTGGGAAATAAAAAATCAAAGGTGAGGCTGACATGAAAAGCAACACGTGGCTGAAAAGCAACACCTGGTAGTACATTACTAGCTCCTTATTCTTGCCCATATAATAGGTGACAAATTGGCTGATGTTCCACGGTTAGGCATGCAACCACCTGCTACAGAAAGTGTTCATCTCTTTCTTGAAGTAAACGTACCACTAAAAAAACAAATTAAGGAAAGCCACAAAAAAAACCCCAAAAAACAAAACAAACAAAAAAAAAAACATCAAAAAAACCCCCAAAAAACCCAAAAAAAACCCAAAAAAAAAAAACCCAAAAGAAAAAACCCAAATTTATCATATTTATTTATTTTTCTTCCTGTTTCTATGACTAGCCTGGTCATCTACAATGTTAGCAGTGATGCTTACCTCTTTGATTATTCCACTCAAGTGGAATAGGTTGGATGCTAGTTTCCCTGCCTTTGCTTCGCTTTTAGCTGATACCTTCCCCTGAAGCACAAGATGAGAGAGATGGGGTTCTCACAGCTCTCTTTCAAACACCCACAAAGGCTGCATTCTATCCTGGCATCGTCCCTGGCTCTCCAAAATCTATACTCAAGATACCTGAAGATCTATCTTCAAAATCTATACTCAAGATACCTGAATATCTACCTCCAAAATCTATACTCAAGATAGCTGAAGATCTACCTCCAAAATGTATACTCAAGAATCTCAGGTGAGATTCTCACACTTTTCAAAAACCTGTGGGAGCTCCATCTGCCCCCTTCTCCTGGCTGGAATAACAAACATAGTTTTATGTCTAAACCTCCTTTCCTTCCTTCCAGGATGCCCCAAACCTTCTCTACAGGAACTGTTCATTCAAGGAAAGCAGGTCTGGCTTCCAGCATGCATCATCTTAGGGCCGAAGGAGAATGAGAGGGAAGGAGAAGTGAAGGATTCCCGAGCATTAAGAACACAGCCTGAAAAGCTGAGCTGCCTCAGCAGCTTTGGCAGAGAGAGGCGGGCGAAGATCCCCACCGACCTGGCCGGAGCTGTCTCCTCACAGGGCGGGCAGTGGGGCGCTCCCCGGCGCTCCCCTCAGCGGGCAGAGCGGGCGGACTCCTCCTCCCGGTTCGGCGGAGGGGCCAGGCCGGTACCGGAGCCTGTAACCGCTGCGGCACGGAGGCTCCAACGCCCCCCGGCAGCCGCGGGGCGCAGGGGACACCCGCCCGCTGCGGGCCCGCGCACGGCCGGCCAAAATCCGAGCCCCGGCATCCGAACCGTCATTCCACCGTAAGGACCTCGTGTGCCCGGGAACGGCTTGCCCGCGCGGTTGGTGGGGGTAAATGCGCCTATGGAAGTCACTTGAGTAACGCAGACTGAGCTCGGCGCTGCAGAAGTGCTTTGCTCTCGGCTATAAAACGTGTGGAGTTTGTTTTTTTTTTTTCCCACATAGGGTATTCACTCCTGGTTTTCATTCTGCCTTTTTGAGAGAAATATTATTCTTCACTCTTAAGCCTGAAATGATATTTTTATACTAAAGAACAGTGTGTAACTCCAGAGGGTGAAGAGACAACTGAAAGGGGGGCTCATCAATGTTTTTAAATATCTAAAGAGGGGTGGGAGGGGAATGCCAAGAGGATGTTTCCAGGCTCTTCTCCGGAGTGCCAAGCAATAGGATAAGGGATAAAAGGAAGAAAGTGATGCACAGGAAGTTCTTAATGTGAGAGTGACTGAGCCCTGCAACAAATTGCCCAGAGAGGTTGTGGAGATATTCTCCTCCCTGCAAATATTCAAAAACCATCAGGACACAATCCATATACACAGCGTGAGCAGGGAGATTGGAACAGATCCACTCCGGTCCCTTCCAATCTGCCCAATTCTGTGATTCTGTGACAAATGCTACTTGAAATCTTTTCCCAGCACCTGGATGCAAAAGCAGAAATCAACCTCTGTCAACACTAAACCAAGGCTGCCAGGAGTGTGATAACAAGGCAAGGCCAGGATTCCCAAACAGCCTGATACTGCCAGGACTTAGAAAAGCAGCACCATTCCAGTGGAGGTTATCAGGTGTGTCTGCTGTGGCACAGGTGTGGTACCCTCGGCCTCCTGGTGGCAACTGGAGGGATGCATTATCAGGTCACCATAGGGGATCCTCATTTTCATGTCACGTTTCAGCAAAGTAATGCCACACTCAGGGAAGCTCCTTCCCTTTAGCCCGTGTCCTGAACGCAGGCTTGTTACCTGTGCAGCATCAATTCACACACTGAGGCAAGATAGTTCTACTTTTTATTCTAGTTTGCTCCAAGCAGGGAGCTGGGTGGTAACACACAAAATGCTGGCTCCCCAATAATCAAAACTTTACAGTATTTATAAATTTCAACAAACAAAGGCATCAGCATTCATTAGTTACAAATTACATAACCTTGCTATTAATTAGTGCTAAACCTCGTATTTGTAGTTGTGTCTGCTAGTTGCGGCTCAGCTAGTTGTGTCCACAGGTGCAATTCTTCCTTCCATTTGAGTCTGGGGTCCGTTTTGAGTGGGTGGTCAATGAGTCAGAGTTGCAATTGCTCATTGCTGGGATTATCTTTTTCCCACTTACTGCTCAGTTTTGCTGACTTCACTCTTGGTGGCTCTAGTTCAGACAGCCCATTCATCATGTAGGATTGCTTTCTCTTTTCCTTAAAACAGAAGATTAGCCAAGCAGACGACATTCACAATGTAGTTGCTTAATCATAACTGTGCAGATAAAACTACTGACTAACTAAAAACCAAAAATTGAAAAGCTTGATTCAGAGCTTGAGCGGCTCGCTATGAGTAGGGATGAACCGGCAGATCACGATCTGACCCCACACCTCCGCAGCACTCCTTGGGCATCCTTGCGACGGAGCGGCCGGGCCGCTGGTGGCGCGGAGCGCAGCGCCGCCTTCCCGTCTGCTCCTCCTCCCTTTCCTCCTCCTCCTCCTCCCCTCTGCCGTCCTATCCCGACATGGCGGCCCCTGCGGAACCCAGCGGGCTCACGGACGAGGCAGCGTACGCTGCCTGCTCGGAGCCAGATGCCAGCACCAAGGTGGGCTGGGTGGCGGTGACGGGCGCGCCCCGGGGTTGTGGCGCCCTCTCCTTCCCGGCCCCCTCACGGCGCCTCAGCGTGGGCGGACGTGCGGGGCTTAGGAGGCGGCATGGGGCCGGGCCGGGTCCCGGCGGGGCAGCGAAGGGTGGCCGGGCCCGGAGCTGCCCTGGCGGGGTGTCTGTCAGGCAGCCGGGCGGGGTTCGGGGTCGTGGCGAGGGGCGGCCGGCCCGGGCCGGGCCGTGTGAGCCGCTGAAGCCCGCGGGGCGCGCTCGGCCGGGCCCGCGGCTGTCCTGGCTCTGAGCGAGCGCTCCGGCCAGTCCCTGCCCGGGCGGCACACACAAATCCGTCAAAACGCCCCAAACCTTTTTACTTTTTATTAGGAGAACATCGTAGTTGAATTATTTTTATTCCCCCCCCCCCCCCCCCCCCCCCCGTTACCTCTGTCAACTATTATACCACGTACTTTTTATCCACTTGGTCGTTCACAAGCCTCTTGGTATATAGTTACCTTGGAGCTTCAACAAAATATCCTTTACAGAGTGGTAGGCCGGTTTTGCTGCCAAGATATAATCAAGCTTGACAGAAGTTCAATACCTGTGCCATGAAATAATAAAAATAATGAGCTCAGGAGTCTAGGACGCTCAATATTGAATATATATATATATATATATTCATGTGTCTGTTGCACTTGTGTGTGAAGTTGTTCATGTATGCTGCAGTCCCATAAAATAAATATAAGGATACTCTGTTTTGATGCATCTGATAATACATATTGAATGATACCACTCATGGGATTGTTTATTTGTTTTAAATATTACGTTACAAAGACATATTTATTTAACACAAATTTGTATGTATAGAATCAGAACAAAAGGTTTTATTTACACTTGAAGTAATTCTCTTCCTTACTTCTGAGCCTCCTGGTTTTAGAGTCATTACTAACTGGCATCTTTGTTAGTACCCATAATTCAATTCTGGTTGATGTATAAAGTATAAACCTTTTCTCTCCACAGGATTTTATATTTCAGCAGACAATGTTAAGAGTAAAAGATCCGAAGAAATCATTGGATTTTTATACAAGGATACTTGGAATGACGTGAGTAGAATTTGTATGCCATGATAAGTTTGGAGTTCTTTTCTGTTCTTTTGAAAATAACTTTTTTTTTTTTGGTGTAATTGTATTAATTGGTCTAACTACATAAACAATGCTGTCCCATCAGCTGATGCTTAGTTGGATGGTCTGGCAGTAAGGTGTAGATGCCTAAGCTGCAAATGAACTAATATTGGCCTTGACTAGAAATTTATTTTTTTCTTAAATAGGTCGTTAATTATCAGGGTACAACTTGCTTACTTCCTCTTCACTGAGCCTGCAGCTGACTGGTAACTTTTATGACTGTGCTTATAATGAGGAGGCTTATGACTGCCTCCAATCACATGAGAATAAATCAATGAAGGATAAAGACAAAGTCCAGACTCAGTCTTTTGGAGAGGGCTTTTGGAAGGCATATGCCATGCAGCAGCTTAACACGTTTATGCTGGGGGTTTTGTGCCTTCTTAGCATTTGAGTTATGTTTTTAAACATCGTGAAATGAGTCCAGACTAAAATAAAATAAATTACTTCCACTGTAGTGAAAATGTGTGAAAATAAAAATTAAATGCCTTGTAAAAAAGAAATTAGATTAATTTTGCATGCCTACTTGTTCCAATTAAATGTCTTACATAAAAATGTATGCTTCATGTATTTTTAATTTATTAAATTGTCACATCTGAAAGGGATTTTATCATTAAAGCTAGCTATTGAAACTGCAAATGTATTTCATCTAAAGGTGTGTTTGCTGTGTTCTTAAACTTTGTCTGGTACCAGTGAGCTCTCTAGAATGAGTAAGATTCAAAGTATATCTTTTTATTCCTTGGTGAAATTTAAAGTGGTTAAAGGTTTTCCCGTGAAAACACAGTCACGTATCAGTGTGACAATCTGAAGATCCAAGCCTTTGTACTGACTTTTCTATTCAGTTACTGGTAGTTTGGTTTTTAAACATCTGATTCTTTTAAATTTTGTAGGTTTGTAAGGTGTTCTGGGGTATTTTTAATTGATAGTTTAAAATGTAGCTATTTTAAGGTATGGATTATAGAAGAACAAAAATTCATGGAAATAACTTTTCTATAGGAGAAGCATCTTGGTTTATTTGCAAGCTGCCTGACTACCCTTTTAAGTTACTATTTCAAAATAATTGTTGCCCTTTAGACTGCTTCAAAAATTTGATTTTCCTACTATGAAGTTCTCACTCTATTTCCTGGGGTATGAAGATAAAAACGATATCCCAAAAGAGAAAGCTGAGAGAACACCCTGGACCTTCTCTAGAAAAGCTACACTTGAACTGACACAGTAAGTATTTACATAAGGAGAGATGACACTTTGTAGCAGTGATTAAAAAGTATTGAATAAGTGTAAATCCCATTAGATTTAATAAAAAATTTGATCATTACTTGGGATACATCTTCACTGTCTTACAAACTTAGAATATATCCAAGATTGGATACTTGGAAAGGTTAATCTTCCTCTTTCAGAGCTCTTTCAAACTGCTAGGTGAACACTAATATGAAACAGTACTTGATACATTTTATATGCATGCCATGTGTGTAAGTAATTCAGGTACCTTTCTTTGGATCCCCAAAGCATCCTAATAATGGGTAACTATTGCTTTTGGAATCTAATCTGAAGAGGTATTAAGTCAAAACATGTGCTTCCTGTAAACAGGACAATTCACTTAATGCTTCTAATCATTATAATTGTGCAGACACAATGTCCCAAATGCTGTCTTAACTGCACGACCTGCTACCCTCACTGGCTGTTCCCCAGTGATGGGTAGTTCAGCTGATTTGTGCAGCAAAACCTCCCTAAGCTGAATGAGACAGGAGTACTCCTGATTCATTCAAATGTAGAGCCTAAATAATAGTGAGGGAATGTGAACGTGGCTGGATTACTCCCAAGACCATCCCTGGAGCCCATGGCTAGGGAAGATCTTTGTAGTTTAATGAATGCAGCCAACAGCTGAAATTCTCTCTTTTTTTAGGAGAAACAAATTACCCTCCCAAGGAAACTGAACATTTAGGATTAGTTAATTTTAATGCTTTTCTTCAATATGTAATAATTACTTCTTACAGCAACTGGGGCACTGAAAATGATGACAGTCAGTCTTACCACAATGGCAACTCAGATCCCCGAGGATTTGGTAGGTCTTTAGTCTTGTGTTTATAGTTTTTAACATTTGAAATAAAATGTACTAACTCTTGGAAAGCAGAAAACTTGCCTTTCATCCTCTCTTCTTTCAGCATGTATACTGTGAAGGATGATGAAAATGAATGAAGCAATGTGTTTCAGAGTAATGAGCCATAGTTTCACTCTTTATCAAGAATCTAATCCTCTGGCAAGCAAACACATGCTAATTGTAACTACTGAGTGAAGAACATCAGTTGTGGTTGTATATTAGATTATCATGGTGCTTAAACTGATTTAATCTTGGATTTCTACTGTATAATCCACTAGTTAATGATTTTAAGGTAGGAGGACAATTCCACTCATCTATAGCACTGAGGATATGATTTGTGTGGCCTGATTTGATACTCTGAGTGCTTGAAAGGTCACTGCTGTGAAATAAGTTTTCACACTTGGTCCAGCCACTTGACATTTAAAGCTCCTGAAGTGATTTGTAAGCTCAGTCCTTGCATAGCACTAGTGTCAGTCTCTGCAAAAACAGCATTAATAGTGAACTCCATGTGCTGTCAAACAGAGCAAATACAACAAAATCCTGTTATGGAGCTCTGCTTCAAGGAAGAACATGCTGATATAACAATTTGATTGAAAATCTTGGTTTTTCCTATTCTAAATAAAGTTCTTGTCTAAACAACACAAGATATTTCAACTCTAACATTTGTGTTTAAAAGGCATTATCAAAAGACAACTGTTTGAAGAATAATGTTAATACCCAAAAATCTCTTCCTGGAGTTTGTTCTTAAATGTAGTCATAATTTATGTGAACTACAGCATGAAATACTAACTTCCACAGAACACTCAGCAATATTTATAATGCACTTCACTCTTTTTACCTTCTTGCACAGGACACATTGGAATTGCTGTTCCTGATGTCTATAAAGCTTGTAAGAGATTTGAAGAACTAGGAGTGAAATTTGTGAAGAAACCGGATGATGGTAAGTCTTGATCAGAAATGCAAGTAAATTTTTTTTGGGTTTTAATATATTCTGTCTATGAGATCTTCCTGGAAAGCTGGGTAATGTGTTGCTAGGAGTTGCCACTGCTTAGAGGTTTCTAGAACCAGTTACTCCTGCACCCCCTTTTAGAGTGGGCAAAACTGGCAATAGATTCATCTCAGTAACAATAATACATCAGTCTGCTACATGCTTTCTGTATGCAGCCTGACCTTCAGTCAAATTCACATTCTCTCTTGGTGTCATAGTTTACATGTCATGTATACTGCTGCCTAGAGTTGGTACAGAATTTACTGTACCAAATTTACATGGCACATCTGCTTGGAAATAACAAGGAATAACAATCTGCTTAGGAAAATAAGTCAGAAACAATAATTCCTACTCATTTAAACTGAGTCATTCTTGACTTTTCTGGCTATTTTCATGTAAATCCACCTAACACCTACTATACAACCTACTAGTTATTATATTTTTAACTGTTTTCAGCTTTGGTGGGAATAGCCCCATTAGTTTGTATCATAATTGACTTGCATAATGTATAGCACAAATGTCTAGAGAGTATATAAGCCCAGAATGTGTATGTGAAAATATTGCAAAATTCAGAAGTGGTGAGAAGTTTTCAGGTGGATTCTCTTTCATAAAAAGACCTCATGAGATTTTTAGAACTGATGCATTCAAAACCAGACATGTAATACTAGTAATAGAAAAGAGATTTAAGTGATTTTCGTCTTATTCACTGTGTTCTCAGCTGAAGCAAAATAAGAAATACAGCTGAAAACTTAACTTGATTTTTTGAAGTAAGAATAAATCTTAGTATTTCTTGCATTTTAGAGTTTATGAGCCTTTTTTAATTTGTCTGTGTCTTACACAGTGAGAGGCTTGAAATGAGAGTTGCTGACTTAGTGCAGTGGTAGGAATGAAAGTACATAGAAGTAAAAGCTTAGACTATATATGGAGAGAATCACAAGAACTCCTGAAGCAGACAAGGGGTGGGGGCAGAACAAAAGCTCTTCTTTAAAATTCAGAAACAAAATTGATGCAGCAATGACAAGGAGGAGGAGGAAGTTTTGGGCTTCACATTTTTTGTAGAGCAAGCTGGGAGATCAAGCATAGGGTTTACTTTCCTGCTTTACTGGTCAAACATCTATTTTCTCAGTTGTTTTTGTGACTAGAATATATTAAGAGCTAGGCTGGGTCTGTTACAGTAAATAACTTACTGGAGCAACTATAACTACAAGTGTGTGGTTAACACTTAAAAGATAACATGTTAACCTGTGCTATCCTGATCTACTGTTGAAAACAACTTTTGGGGACCCTGTTTTAAGGAATAATATAAACAGTAAAATTTATAACAATTGTGTCCTGCATTTCTCTGCTTTATGAAGTGATGCAGAAGTATACTGTAAACCATGTCAGAGGTAAAATTTTTATGGTGAAAGTTCAGTGTGGAGTCAGGAATGATGGGAGATTAATAGGGCAGAGGAACACAGGATTTTATACCTGCAAAGCCAGATCAAGAAAATATATCAAAACCTCCCCAGAGCACAAAAATATTTTCCTGAATTTCGAGGATGAACACTTACAGGGGCATATGCAAAAAACTTCAATCAACAAGATGGAATTGCAAGGTGACTTTTAACTACAGCTTTATTGAGAGTAGGATTGACACTTTTGCATACAAAGATCTAATGCTGATTAAAAACTAATCTGGATGTTTTTAGAATTATCCATCTAAATTTGAACTAATTCTCATGCAAAAGGAAAAATATTTTTCAAGGTGATCATATTTGACATTTAGAACCAGTCATGTAGGCTTAATTTCATTTTTTTTTTTCCCTAATAGGTAAAATGAAAGGACTTGCATTTGTTCAGGATCCTGATGGCTACTGGATTGAAATTTTGAATCCTAACCACATGGTGACTCTCACTTAGTTCCAGTGAAGTATATTGTATAAAAGAGACCCATTTTCAGACTCCTGGAGAAAATCTGAAACAGTGTTTGTGAAATTTGCTTAATAGAGAAGAATCAGTCACGTTCAGAGTCTCCTTCAAAACTATCCCCTGGGACCTCACTTGGATTCCTTTTCTCTTGTCCTGTGATGTCACTGCAAATTGTTTCCAGTTAGGAACACTCAATCATTTTCTGGAAGAGCACTTACACAGATTCTCCTCTTGAACATTGATTATGTTAATATTTCAATAAACACTGTCAAAAGATAAGTGACCAGAAGCTTACTGCATTTCACACTGATTAGATTTAAACTAGCAATGACAACTCCTGTGTTACTACTGATAAGCATCAATGAGGAGGCAGAAAGAAACTTCCCTATATTTCTTTCATGAAGTCAAAAGATCCTGAAGGCTTCATGTCCTATCTCGTATACTAGAAAATAAAATATCAGACTAATTTTGACTGGAGTAGTAGCATGCTTAAAGTCATAATCTTTCTTACATAATTCCAAGCAAAATTCTTCTAAGGAGCAGCCTTAAGCAGTCTTTCAAAAAGAAATTTTACAGAGGGAATAAATCTGTACAGCAGAAAGAATTCAGTCTTTCGGCTCAGTTTCTGACTGTTGAGTGATAGCCAAGAAAAGAGGTCTCATAGTTGCTAACTCACAGTAACCCTTGTCTCTTTCAACACTAGGAAGAACTTGCTCATAATTTTTGTTTCAGTAGAAGCCTGGGCTATATTTGACTTAAATGCTCTGTATATTCTGCCTTAGGAAATTAATGAAAGAGTATCTGAAACAACAGTTTCCTACTACTAGACATTTGATCTGCCCTCCCAAAACAAGTGATGGTACACACCAGTGAGCAGCAGGAAAACATGTAGCATTTCCATGTGTTACACAAACTCTAAAACCCTCTGCCTTGTCTTACTCTGGTTTGAATAGCACCTAACTTCTTCAGTTATGTGGCTACCAAATAATGTGTAGTGTAACCAAAGGCTAATAGTGTAAAGACATTGCAGTTCACTTCCCAATAAAGCATTGGTGAAAATTTCAAAACATTTAAAAGCATGATGATGTGTTGCTTTGCTTATTGTTGAATTCTAGATGACTGAAAGGCTTGCTGTTTTGCTTTGAGGATTCTGTTTTGAATCATTGTACTCAGCAGTGAAATTTCCAGTGGTCCTTTCCTGTGGTCCTTTCCTGTTGGACTCTTCACAGACCTCACTGCTCCATTTCTGTCTCCTGGACAGTCCTGGGAGCCCAGTCAATTCCCTGGTGCTGGCCAGCACCAAAGGGAGTTGCCACCTAAAAACTGGGTGAGACTTAACTCCAGCTCCTCCTGTCGTATGTTGGTCCCAGATGGTGGAAGGACCCTGGAAAGCCCCTGTGTGAGCAGAAAAGCCACACTATGGAAAGCCAGTGTCCACAAAGGAGACAGAGAAGTCCTGCAAATTTATTCTAATAAAGGGAGAGAGTTCACTGGCGCACACCTGTTATAAACTCCCAGCCACATGTTGCCCTCCTCCTTTCCCCACTGGCTGAGGTACTGGGAAGGTACAGCCTTCCCGAACTGCCTACCACATGCTTCCTCCTTAAACATGTCATTTTCCCCCAAAGTTCAGAATCTCAGGCTTGCATGGGGACCCATTTGTTTCAGGAGTCAAATTTCTGGGCTCTAACAAACCTGCAGATTGAAGTTGGTAGAGACATAAGGAACTGTTTCAAAGACATTAACACATGTCCATGGAATTGTTTGGAAAGACATTGGCACCCATCTTTCCTATCATGTAGTCCAGTAGATAACTACATAAGTAGGAGCAGGCTATGCTAAAGTTTCTCTGCTTAGTAATCAAAATTTACTCTAAGCATGTTGTCTAATCTTGTAGTGGCCCTTGCTTTTTTATATACATGACAAAGTGTAGACATGATAGATTTTGAGGTAGTAAAGAGGCAACTAGTAAAAATCCACTGGCATCTACAAACCAGTTACAGAAGTATCATGAAGTGGACAAGGTGTGGGTTTGGGTTTTTTTGAGAAAAAAGGTACTGCTGCTTGTCATACTGAGAACTAATTTAAACCAGTATTTGCAAGTAGGAAATCCAAGAATAAACTACTAATGAAAAACACCTAATGGTAAATCTTTTAACCTGTAACGTTTTTAAAATATTTTAGATGTAGAACATTTCTGAAATTGTTCCATGTTCTCACTGATTACAGGCCGCTATTTTTGCTTCTTCCAAGGAAGGCTTCCTTTCTTCTAAATAAAGCATGGCATTAAATAGCGTGTAGTGCTTTGCCTCTCGGAGGGCTTAAATTTAGCTTCATGCAGTGCAGCCGAAGTCACTCTCACGGTTACACAGCGACGGGCCCACATTTCCCATTCCCGCTGGGAGAAGCTCTCCTGACGCAGGAAAGCAGGACGCACACCGGAGGGCAGGAGCTACGCACGCCGCTACCAAGGAAACGGGGCTTTAGGACGCGGCCAAGGAGCAGCGGGCGGGTGGCGGGGAAGGTTAACACCGCTCGCCGTTCCGCAGTCCCGCTGTCCGGCCGCGCAGCTCCCTCCGTCCCGCCCGCCGCGCTCCAGGGGCGGAGCAGGAAACGCGGCGGCGGCGGCGCTCCCGCGGCGCGCCGGGACCCGCTTGCGTCACACGCAGGCCGCTGCTGCCCGGTGACGTCAGCGCGCCGCCGGGTGACGTATGAGCGGCGGCGGGGCGGGGGGAGGAGGCCTCGGCGGCGGCGGGGCCGGTGAGTCCCGCGGGCGGGAGGGCGCGGCGGCCGCGACCCCCAGGCCGAGCGGGGTTCCGAGGCCGCCCGGGGTCCGGAGGCGCTGCCGTCGGCGGCTCCCGCCGGGCGCGGGCAGGGCAGGGCAGGGCGAGCTGGGCCGGGGGAGCGCTGCCGTCCGGGGAAGGCGGCGGGCGCGTTTGGCGGGGAAGCGGTTTCACCTGAAGTGCCGTGTTGTGGAGGCGAGGGAGGGGCGGCCGAGCGGGCCGGGGTCGCTTCCCCTGGCGGCTCCCCAGCTCCGGGTCGGTGGCGGCCCGGGCTGCCCCGGGCGCGACCTTGGGCGCATCGCCGGCTCCGCTCCGCGCCCGCCTCACCTGCCGGCCCCTCGTCCGCCCCTGGCTGGCTCCTCAAGGCCCTCCTTGGCCATCTAATTCGAATTTTATCTCATATAAAGTATAAGTTCGGTATTTTGACGCTCTCGCAGTACTCAATGTTTTCCCCGGTGCTTTGGTGTCGTAGTAGTTTAACCACTCTGCAAGTTACGCACTACTGTGATTCATTGGAATTACTCTTAGCTTAGAAGACATATTATCAGATTTAAAAAAAAAAAAGCAACTTGATGTTAACTTGGTAGCAATCTGCCGGTGATCTCGCTTGCCGAACAATGTCTTTTGCTCATGTTTTTAAAGCACAGCAAACAGACCTCCTTAAGGTCCTGTGCTGGAATCATTTAGGCTTTTATGTGTTTTAGGATTTAATTTGAGCCTGCTCACAGAGCAGGTGTACTTGGTGTGTCTTCTGTTACAATTCTAAATCAGCTGCTAGAACTGTTCCGTTGAGATGTTTACTCAAATTTAACAAAAAAAGACCCCGAGAATTTTCATGAATGGCTTTTCAATGAATTTTCATAACACAGGCCAACTTGATAACGTGCATTACTTATAGGAAGGATACTTAGATATTAAATTTTGATCCTCAAAAACTAGGAGACTTTCTTTGCAAAAAGCCTGGATTTGATTTGCAGGATTAAGGTGTGATTACTTCCTAATTCATGAGACTACCTAAAAATATTTTTTTCTGCCTTCCCCTTTGTTCTCTTAATCATATCCCATAAAGAAAATTAGAGTGACCCATATGAGAGAATTCATAGATCAAGATATCATCCATTTAGCAAATTAAATACAGTTTATTTTTCCTCCTGGAAGGTGTGATGGGAAGATTAACAGTAATATGTAATTGTTTAGAGATACTCGTTATGTTGGTTATTTATTTAAGCAAGTCAAGCCTCTAGATTTCTCCATTTCGTGACCTTACAATTTTATTTCGGTTTCCTGTTTAAAAAAAGGCTTGTGCAATAGGAAGGTCAGCAACTGCCTTATGTTTTGTAAAAAAACCAAAACCCCAAACAGAACCCCTAAAACTTTAGTTAGGCAAGAACACTTGGAGAATTTTGTCTGTGTAGGGAATAAAGCATGTGTTATACAGTTGGTACAGACCTGGTTTAATTAGGACACCCATCTGGGAAAATGGCGTTTTCAGGGACGTTAATGCTGACATGTAGCAGAAATGTCAGGATGGAAATTTTTGGTTTATAATGAATATGGCAATGTGTTATTACTGTCTTCTGTGATGGTTAAACAAAATATTAACGGTCAAAATTAAGTTATGATGACTCAGAATAGCGATACTATTCCTGCATTCTGTTTTTAGAAGTTTTCCCGTTACATTGAAGGCTTTTTAAAGAATTTATTTCTGCAAGAAGTTGAGTTGAGAAATACGCGTCTCTCTTGCTTTCTTCATTAGGCTTTGTGCTCATGCTTTCTGATGGTGTGTATTTCATGCATTGTTCCAGGAAATGGTCCAGTTGTTGCTGTGCAGCTGGATGTTGCTGAATAACATTTCTATGAGCTTGCTGTTCAGTCTGCCTGTTGTTCAGGATGGCGAAGAACCCTAATTTCCCAGAGGCGGGCAATCTGCCTACGGGCTACGCGCACTGCAGGTCTTCAGACAGCTTCGCTGGTGAGTGGGCCCCATGTGTTTTCTTGAGATTTTAATGGTTTTGTTGTATGCTATTTTAACCAGGTTAATTTTATATGTGTGTTAATAAATAATCTGCACTAAGTATATTGTTCTTTGTACTTTGCTAAACTTATTCCTTCTCTTCTGTGACAGGAAAGCGTCTGAGCGGAATGTAAAATGTTAGCACTACAGCACTTAAGTGACAGGAATGTGTCTGCAGATGAGCAGGGCATAACTCCCCATATGCTTTGAGTCAAAACATTTTTTTGTACTAAATTGCTGTTTAGAATGCTGTGATTGGATGGTGTGGTTAGTCTCCATTAATGTTACCATCTGCTTTCCTTTGAATCCTTTCACAACAGAAGGGTTGGAGATGAGACTTGGAAGTTCTGTGAATTGCCCTTATTTGTGCTTACAGATTCTGTCGATTTTTCAAGACATATGAGTTGATTATGTTATTTTTTTTTGTTTTGGCTACAAAGTATCAAATCTTGTTTGGGGTTGGTTTTTTTTTTCCGGTTACAATTTTCACTCCGGTTCAACTTTGGTTGAACCAACCATTGTTACTTGGAAGTACAAAGGAGCTAGGGTTCTGGCAGAACCAAAGTATTTACACTCTGAATGTTGAAGTATTTACTGAAAATTTCTGTTTCCTGAGTTTATATATTTATGAAAAGACATATGTATATCCATTGAAAATATGTAAACCGTATGATTGGAACCAGTGGTATGTTTGTACAGTAGTGTTACTGTTACATCTGTCATGTTCTGGGAGTCTGTGGTAATAGAAATTGAAACTAAAGTAATATTTTACTGGAATTTTTGTACAATATATGAAGTAATTATGAAGTAATGAAATTACAAAAAATCAAAATACTACTCAAGTGCCATCCAATCAACTGAGAAACAATTTTTAGATAAGAGAATGTAAAGGAAAATTTAAGAAAATTTTCTTTTTGTAATTCTGATAAAAGTATTAGCTTGCTAGGTACAAACTAGAGGATGTAGGAATTAGTTGTTTTAAGAGTATGAAATTATTTGCTCAGTGTCTATAAGCTGGACTTGCTTAATGAAAAAATTAATTCTAGCAATAGTCTGTTTACTTGCATTTATTTCTAAAGTTTTGATAGAGCTATCTGTTATGTAAGCATTCTTTACTCATGTTATGAAAAATTTTTCTTCAAATAATTCATTATTACCTGGTAGAAAAACAACACTCCCATGTTTCATTGAAGCAGCACTGCTTTTCAGAGGATCCTTCAATGTTAGCCTAAATGAGGGCGGGAAGAGACTGAATGCTGATCTTTCATTGCAACTGAGAGTTGTTCAGAAAGGATGTCATTGCTGTTGTTGCTAAATTTCCTAGATGATGCTTTTGTATCCCATAGCCTGTTACAGATTACCTACTGAGTAGAAATACAGGAGACTGAAAGCATGGAGGGGGTTGTTGTTTCTCCGGGCACAGCACACATTATGTAGCATTGCATGCTGCCTTATGTCATAAATACTGGGCTGCATTTTTCACATGCTCACTGTTAAAGATGGCCACCAAATAGTGTGTCTTTCACTGAGGTCAGAAAAGTGGTTTGTAGGCCTTAGGACTGAACAAATGCTTTTTCATATTCTTGCAGTTCTAATGGTGCCTCAAAATCACTGAGAAGACTGTTTTGATTGTTTATTTCTGTGTCATGACCAAAGCTGCAGCAGCTGACTCCTGAAGCAGTTAATTAGCTCTGAATACCTCCTGGAAGTAGGTTGTGGTGCTGGCAGCAGGCTTACAAATGGCATGTTCTTTGACTGCCAGGAAGAGTAAGCATCTGTATTCTCTGAAAAGGTGATGTTGTTTGATGACCGAAGAGCCAGAAGGAGCTTCAGGAAGGGTTCAGTGCAAGTTCTTAGCAGCATCCATTTTATTTTTAATCATAAATATTACTTTCGAATAACAACTAGAAAAAGACATGTTTAGTTCTACAGGGAAGTTGTGAGCTTGTAGCAATTTGGCACAACTAAAGAGCTTATTAAGTTTTACTTCCTCAAACAAGAAATGTACAGATCGCTTAACGAGTTGCCTGAATTTGTACCATTAATTAATCCAGCCTAGGAAGTGATGAAGTCATGTATCATTTGGTTCTATATTTGGAGGCAAGACTGTCTCACTGGTCTGCTTTATATGAAAAGTCCACAATACAGACAGAACTTGTGTTGGAAATCTGTACTCGTAGACAATAGATGAGTTGGTGTGTTTCTTCAGTATACTGAAGAAACTGAAGTATACTGAGGTACCCATGGCACACAGAATAGGCATGGCCATGGTTTTGTAAAGGTGACTGCCCAGCACTTTGGGTCATTCAAACATTTGAAAGGCCTCCTCAGCTTGTAGCCATCATTTGAGTCCTGCATTTCCTGTGCTCAGCAGGTTTGTGTTTGAAACTGATGGCTGGAATAGTACATGGAACCAGCAATTTGGAGAGCATTACACATCAGAAGAAATTTGCCTTGCTGCTTACACACAGGCTGATATCTAAATTTCTGCTTTCATTGCTTGCTGTTCAGCATCTTGATGTTCATAAGGACTGGGCATCCTCGGGTCACTAGCAACTGTTCCTGCTTCAGACTTTGCCCTCTTATATACACTGATACTTGTTTAGACAGAGGTTTATGTACTCTTGAGAGGGAAGTGTGCTTTTGATTTTATTTGTTTATTTAACCTTAAATAGAAACAATTTCTCTCGAGCTTTTCGTCCTATTGGCACATGACAACATCCACAGCTACTGAAAGCAAAGTTAATACAGTCTTTCAGTTTTATTCAGACAGTACTTGTTCTTCTTTTTAAAGATGAGTGGATTCAGGAAACAAGGAAGTAGAATATAGTAAAAAAGTTGAAATAAAAATAGATTGTAAAATTAAAATGTGCCAATATTTGTACATGAATGAAGTATCATAAATCAGCTTCCTGAATCAACAAATGTTTAAGCTAGCAGCAGAGAGATTATACAGAGTTCCTTGATGATGTGTAATTCACACGTAGTTGGCTTGCCTGACTATTGCAAATGAAGATCAACAACAGCAATTATGGGTGTGGTATGGAAGTCTTCAAGGAGTACCCAGACCTGAGACTGTAGCTGAGTAACAAATAACATCTTTTTGCATACTCCCTCAGTGTAATAAAAAGTTTTCTATTTCGAAGACATTTCAATTTTACCATTGTCTATGAAGTGTCAAACAGTTACGTTGTGGTAAGTGGTATTGCTGGTACAAACAGATGTTGCTGGGCTGATGTAATCAGCTTAATCTTGCTTGTTAGAAAGTAAATCGTACTGGAAGTGTATGTAGAATAAATCTAAATTGTCTTAACTAATAGTAAGATAACCAATGCAAGTGGAAGAAATAGTCTGTTATGATGAAAACCTGAAAAGTAATTTGCTTTCATGTCAGGATAGAAGAATGACTACAGTGTTCTGTGTTCCATGGTTAGGCTGCCTCAAGTATCTTGGCCAGTGTTGCTGGTTCTGGGCTGCAGTGGCTACACAGGCACACAGCTTCTAATTCAAGTAACAGAGACAGCAGTGGAAACCTGGGAGTTTGTTCCCATTTGTGTTGTGATCTGTGATTGATTTAGTATGCTGTATTTTTTCTTAAATTTTATTTTCTATTTCTATCACTTTTTGTTTAGTTTCATTTGAGATTCTTTGGGACTGTGTTTCCACAGTATCTTGATTTTGGATAAAGCATTTCCATGTGTTCAAGTGCAAATAATAATTAACCCCAAGTGCATCTGTTTGGGGTTTTTTTTAACATATTTTCTCATAGTATTTTTACAGTAGAATCTAAAAGTGTATTTCAGTCATGAATATTTGACTTAAAAGATTCATATGTTAGGTGTGTGTAAGGTATGGCCTCATCATTGTGTGGTACACCACCTTTTTTAGCACTGGCTATCTGCCTGTTTTGAAAAGTGTCTAGTAACTGGAGCAGGGAAGATACCTCTGAAGATATGGATGGTCATTATCTGAAACAATCAACTTCTTTGTAAAGAAAAGTAAACCAAAGTGTCACAGTAGAAGCCAGTGTAAGACCTAAATTCACTTTTGGATGCTCTTGCCATTGAGACTACAGAAAGTCTCTCTGCCAAAATAAACCAAAACCATAAAAAGCTAAAACCTGTTGTGATCGAAGAAGAAACAAAAAAATTCTATTGAAGATATGACTAATGTATTTATCTATATTACACATTAGTGGGCAATCTCCTAATTTTATGACTGATAGGTATGTTTTTATATATATATGTATATAATATGTGTGTGCGTGTGTGTGTGTGTATGTGTGCAGGAACAAAGTCATCAAGAGAACTGAATGTAAAAAATAAGAAAATTGAACTGTACATTGTAAAGCTTTTCTATCGGGCAGACCTTGTTCTTTATTGAAAGTTGTCCTGATTATTTTCTCCCAATTCTGAAAAGCTGAATAAAAATCTACAAAAACAGTTTTTACTTTTCACTGATTCTAGTACAGACAGGAGAGTTAAGACTAAGCTTAATTGGTTACCTTGCTTATTTCTATTTTGTGTCTGTGCATTTTAATTCAGATAAAAATTGCTTTCTAATGGTAACACGATGTAAAATAGTTTAATTTTTAATTCCCTTTGTTGGAAACTTTTTCTTTTAAGTAAATGGGTTGACTGAATAACAAGGTGCTAATTCTCTGAGATACTTAGCTAGAATTGTTAATGCCAGCTGTGTTGAGTCTGGTTGAAAATGAACTTTGATAGATAACCTCAGCTTAATTTTTCTTGTCATATATAATTACTTAGATTAGTCACTTTTTTGTTATTGCAGTTATGCTTGCTATTCTTATTTTTGCCCTGTATAATACTGCTTGCTTTCTTTGTGCTTTAGGCTACCAGTACCACCATCCCTCCAAGATGAGTAACAGCCACCCGCTTCGTCCGTACACGGCTGTGGGGGAGATCGACCACGTCCACATTCTGTCCGAGCACATTGGTGCCCTGATGAACGGGGAGGAATACAGTGACGTTACCTTTATTGTGGAAAAGAAACGTTTTCCGGCACACAGAGTCATCCTGGCTGCTAGATGCCATTATTTCAGGTGAGTAAGGCTTTTTGTCAGGCTCACAGGAAGTTTTTGTGCAGATGAGATAAACATTATATCCCTGTGAACTTTTCAGGGTGTAATCATCTGTCCATTGAGTGTGACCTTTTCTGTGTGAATGTTTCCCAGCACATCAAATCATTGTGTTCAAATAGAAAAAGATAAATACCATGTCACAGTGTTATTCTTTTGACCTTCATTAAATTGGATTTTGAAGGTAGTTTCACAAATTCAAGAGAAAGAGAACTTGAGAGCAGGGAAGTACTACTGCAAAGTTGTTTTGATTTCTCAGAGTATAAATGGTATGTTTATGGTATGTTTCTGTGGAATATAGTGAGATAGCAAGTTTGATTTTGATGAATTGGAATTGAGAAGTTTGACTGATACAGATGAATATATATTTTAAAACTAGGAATAATACTAATCCAGTTATTTTTAGGAGCTGGAAATTTTTCAGTAGAAATACATTTAATATCCCTGTGAGTTTTGCCAGAGGGATAAGCCACTAACTAAACTAAACTCTATTCCTTATAGAGCATTATTGTATGGAGGAATGAGAGAATCTCAGCCTGAAGCAGAAATTCCTCTGCAGGACACCACTGCAGAAGCATTTACCATGCTGTTGAAATACATTTACACTGGTCGTGCTACGCTGCGAGATGAGAAAGAAGAGGTTCTTCTTGACTTCTTAAGCCTGGCACATAAATATGGATTCCCAGAACTGGAGGATTCCACATCTGAGTATCTTTGCACAATACTCAATATTCAGAATGTCTGTATGACTTTTGATGTTGCCAGTCTTTATTCTCTTCCCAAATTAACTTTTATGTGCTGTATGTTCATGGATAGAAATGCTCAAGAGGTGCTCTCCAGCGAAGGCTTCCTGTCACTTTCTAAGGTATATCTTTAGTTTGTACTTCTTTTCCCCAAGACTGCTAATTTCAATGGTAATACAGTTTTGTGATGAAATACTACTTACTTGTGTAAGCTCATAGTTATTTTATGCTTGTGAAACTGTGATGGTTGGAAATGCTCAAGATAAGCTGAACTGGAAATTTTGGCAATCTGTTCTGAGTTTTTCAGGTATTGACCAATCAATATAGTTTAATAAACTTTATCTAATGGGGTGTTCTAAAATATGGCAGCAGGCAATCTAATTTTAATTTGTCTTATTTCATCTGTTCCTGGTATAATACAATTTGGCTTCCGAATGCTGCAGAGGGAAAGTCAAATATACACTTGAATGTGACAGGGCATACTTTGTTCTATTAATTCCTTGATATAAGCTTCATCATGATGGGTGTTTTTCTGCTGGGTGAACTAAAGCATTCTAGAGATTACTGTGATTTATATTGCTGATTGTCATCATGCTCTGAACTTGCAGAATATGGTGGTGTGGTATGGTGGTTTGGGTTTTTTGTGTGTGTGGTTTTTTTTTTTGTTAGATGCATAAATATTCGGGACTGAGTCAGGCTGTTCTACAAAGTTGAAATTTTGCATTTACTCTAGAGGGGTCTTTGGGCTGAACTTCATAGTGAGTGTGTTTTCAAGTAGTGTTCACATGAAGCAGCAGAGCACCTTGAATGAATGATGCTTTAATTGGGGCATTTTAAAGTGTTTTTTTCTTAGGGGAAGAGCTGTGAAGGGTCTATTCCTTGAATGAGTATATGACCCTGCTGTAAATTACTCATTGTGTAAGGAAAAAAGATATTTTTTTTCTCTCTGTACTTTCTCATATGCTGCTTGTTAAAGTTGAGTTCTGAGAGTGTATTATCAATAACGAAATGAGCAAACATCATTCATCAGGAAGTGCACACTTTGAGATCTTTGACATAGCCAGTGCTGGTATATAGGAGAGATCTTTCCATTTTCTAGGCAAGTTCCTGATGATTCTGCTAGCTAAGTGAAAATCAAAAAGCTTTTTGATTATTTGTGTCTTCATTTTGCAGTCAGTGGGTTTTCTACATGAATAAAAGCCACTGGAGTTTTTACTTGATGATTCTTAGTTGGTACCCAAAGAGAGAGAAAGATTGACAGGACAGAAATTCCAAGTAGTTAGAAATGGTTAAAAAAGTGGTTTCAGGCAATACTTTTTTTTCTCATCAGTGGTCATATAGCAACGTAAGTTTAAAGGAATATTTTGAGCTACACTGTTAAGTTCTCAAATCTCTTATAATATTCCAAAGTAAATTTGCACTACTGAATGGTATTGTATTGATTTGATTAGTTCTCTACATTTCAATTTTCTCTAGTTATTTTGTTATATTGCCTATTATTTTGGTAATGGATTCTGTAATTCTTACATAACTAAAATAATCTACAATTTCAGGGAGTCATCCCTTTGGAGATTATTTTTAATAGCTATAAGGTAAAATAGCCATTAATTTTTGCCTTATTTGAATTTCCCTTGATTGAAAAAAAAAAAAAACATTCAACTTAATTTCTGTTTATTTAGGAGGTATATGTTTTGTTCATATTTCTCTTTTCCAGGCTGCTCTTCTAAGTATTGTACTGAGAGACTCATTTGCAGCTCCTGAAAAGGATATTTTCCAAGCTTTGATGAACTGGTGTAAACATAACCCCAAGGAAAACCATGCTGAAATCATGCAAGCAGTACGTTTGCCACTAATGAGTCTGACAGAGCTACTGAATGTTGTAAGACCTTCTGGATTGTTGTCACCTGATGCCATCCTAGATGCCATTAAGATTCGTTCTGAGAGTCGGGACATGGACCTCAACTACAGGGGCATGTTAAGTAAGCATCAGGTTTTTTGTTTCCTTCTCATTTAGTGACTGTGGTTGTCTGGAGGATATGCTTAATTTGTGCTTTGAGTTTTCATCTATTACTGTGTGTTGCAAAAGGTTTGCAGTATGAAACATGTTGTTATGTAACTGTTCATGCCATTTTTATTTCTCCATATTAGTCAGTTATTTTTCTTGCTTTGTATCTCAGATATTTCTCAAACTTGAATGTAATACTGTTTTCCCAGAGGCAGTGGTAATTTAATAGAAAAAGTTTTACAAAATCAGTGAAAATAAAAATTAATTGGCTGTGAGAAATATGATATTTAAATGGTTTTATGTGACTTGTTTTCTACTTCATTAACATTTTCTTGATTTCTCCGCTACTTATGACTTTTCTTTCACTCTTTACATGCTTGTCTAAATAGTTTAAATAAGTCTCTGAAGTCATTTTAATGGAAACCTGTTGCAGGGCTTGCAAGGGTTCCTCAGGGTGAGAGAGATAGACGAGAATCTTGGCTTCATGATCAGAAGGCTGGATTTATTAATTTATGATATATAATACATTATTACTATGCTAATAGGAATAGAGAGAAAGCTCAGAAGCTGCTAAGCTAAGAATAGAATAGGAATGAATCAACAACAGAGCTCTCTCTGATTCTGTCCCAGAGAGAGCTCAGTCTTTGATTGGCCCTTAATTGTAAATATCCAACATGGGCCAATCACAGCTGCACCGGTTGCATTTCACAGCAGCAGATAACCATTGTTTACATTCTTCTTCTGGGGCCTCAGCTTCCCAGAAGGGGGAAAAATCCTAAAGAAAGGATTTTCCACAAAAGATGTTTGTGACAGAAACCTAAAAAGTGTAACAAGCCTTGTGTTTGACTTTTTTTCTGTGCTCTCTGTTAATTCAAGAAGAGTACTAACACTTAAGCTTTAAAAAGGTACTGTTAGCCATCTAATGTGTGAATTTGACCCACAGCAAAGGAAAAAAGTTCAATGTTCTTTAAGAGTCTGCGCTGTGTTCTCAGTCATGCATGATGAGCCCTGAGAATTACTGCTATCTTAGAATTGCATATTCTTTGCTCTCCCTTAGAAGTTATAGTTATTAATATTTAAACATATGAGTTTAATATTAGGGTATTGTAAAAGTCTTTTTATGCGAGGCATTCTGTTGAGAGTGCAGTAGATACATTTGAATAAGTCATGTGGCCTTCTGTGCCTTCTTTTCCTGGATATTTATCTCCACAATAAAATTCTCCTAATCACAGCTTTTTGGAGAGTGGAATTTCTTTGTTGTTTGTTCTTTGTCCTCATTCAGGATCTTGAAGCTTTTTCTGTTTATGGAAGTGTTGACTAGCACTTCAGATTCTGTTCTTTAGATATCAAATTTTTATCAGCCTGTTAATATTCATACTTCTATTGTCAACCTGCCTGAAAAGTTTGGGGTAGCTTTTCATCATTTGGTTTTCAGATCATATTTTATGGGATCTCTCCTCAAACAAGGCTGTTAAAAATGTCTGTTGAAGAGACTAGTTTACAGAGTTTTGTTCTGTAGTTGAAGTTAAGGATCATTATTCCCAGTTAGCTTGAAGGAAACTGTTCCTAGGACACAGGCTTATTACTGTGAAATGGTGGTGTGAAGGTCCGCCCAAAATGAACGGGTGACGAATGATTTTTGGGTGCAAAAATAACCAACAAAGGCACAGGGGTTTTGCAGTAACAAATCAACAAGGTGCAATTTTATTGATTATAACCACAGCTAAATATGCATTAGGTTAAGGGATCCGGGGAAGAGAAGGGTAAGACAAGGAAAAAAGGGAGGAAAGAAGGTCAGGGAATGGGGTATAGCTACCAAAACGTGAGGTCTTCGGGGTCCCGCCGCCGAAACTCGCTGGTACACGTCTTGGGGAGTACTCAAAGGACAGTCGGACCGAACCCCAATATATATATACTGTTCTTGGTTGGGGGAAGGGTAGCTGAAATTATGTTTCCATGGAGGGGAGAAGTCCATTGTTTTCATGGCCGAATGCTCACAGGTACGTTAGGTTTTTCCCCCTCCCTGAGTTGGGAGGGGGTACAGTCCCAGTCTCTGGAAGGAGGTTGCCATGGGGGCGCCATGGGGGTGCCATGGGGGTGTCAATAGGGTGCCAGAGGGGTTCTTGGTTCCTTGATGAGGGAATTCGCATCTCTGTTGGTCCGTCATGGTGGTTGAAGACAGGCAAGAGGGGTCTTCTCATGGAGCGGGGGGGGAGCCACCCCAGAGCTCAGTCCAGCCAGATCAGGAGTTTGGAAGAAAGTCCAGTTCAATTGTCCAGAAAAGGGCAGCATGCCCCCTTCGAGTACAGCATGGCGTGTTCTGCAAACATCACTTGTGAGCACACTAGATAAGCAGGAGACTTTCTTTCCCAACTGGCTCAGCAGTTTTAACACTTCGGTAGTTCTCATGACAATTGTGAGGCAAAAAATGAAGGATTTTCGGATGGACTTCTACAGGTGGCATAAAAAAACTTGCTTTTCCATGTGAGTTCAAAGCCCAAGTAGCCAAAATTTTCCCATTTCACTTGGGTTCATTTAGCTTTGCAGGATACTCGAAGCTTGTGTAGCTGTCAGAGAAGCATGTGTGGATTTACTGCTTTGCACCACTCTGCAAATTTAGGATGGGTCTTGAAAATTTGATACACATCTTGTACATTTAAGTTTCTTCCATTTAGGGGAAAAAAAAAATCCCAATAAAATCCAAACCAAAAGCAAACAGCAGTTGACAGGTGCAACAGAATTCTGTAAAATCATGAAGGGGACTGAGAATATAGCTGCTACATAATAGTAAATTATCACAGCTTTATTACCATAAAGCATGTAGGAGATACCAAATAAAATTGAAGTAGCAAAATATTTTTAATGCCTCTTTATCTTATTTTCTTTTCTTTTTTTTTTTTTTTTTTTTGCTAGAGCATGTGTTTCTGGCCAAGGAAGCATACTAGCAATATAAATAAATTTGGTCTGACCTAATAGAGTTGATATTCAGCACATCTAATTTGAGTTTAAAATTTAAGAAATTATTCCCTTTTCTTCTTAGTACCAGGGGAGAATATTGCAACAATGAAGTATGGAGCACAAGTTGTAAAAGGCGAGCTGAAGTCTGCTCTGTTGGATGGAGACACTCAGAACTATGACCTGGATCATGGGTTCTCTCGACACCCCATCAACGACGACTGCCGCTCCGGCATTGAGATTAAACTGGGCCAGCCCTCCATAATCAACCACATACGAATTCTCCTGTGGGACAGAGACAGTCGGTAGGTGCCAAGGTGACATAAAAAGGGAAAGTAATGCATTTTGTCCTGGAGATAATGTAGCAGTGCAAACTATAATTTAAATATTTTATGGGAATAGCATGGTAGTGTTGGAGCTGACAGTTGCATGGTTTATTTGGAAACCTGATTTTTAAATGTAATTTTGGTTACTTGCACACCAGATCATATTTACAGATGTTAAACTACCCTAAAGTATTTCAATGTTTTTACATATTTTCATTTCAAACATTGAAAGATTTCTTTTGTTCCAATTTTTCTCAATATATCAAAATAGTTAAGAAATGGCCCACTTTGACAATAAGATTGGACTTGATCTTGGAGGTCTTTTCCAGCCTAAATGACTTTATGATTCTGTAATTCAGAGGTAGTAAAATTTATTTAGAATGTGAATTACCAACTGACTACAGTAGTTATTAGAAGCCAATTCATGGTTAGACTGCTGAAATATGAATTGTCATAGATGCTGTAGCCAGTTGTTACTGAGCTACTTCAGGTTATTATGGAATGTATGAAAATTCAAATTAGGATCATTTGAGCAATTGGGAGGCTGCTGAAGTAGAAAAATTACAGGGTTCTTTTTCTCTGAGAAATTTAATATATTAATTTTGTAACTTGCTATGACACAGATCTTACTGTTTAGTAGACAGATCAGCAGGTATTCATAAGCTGTTAAAAACAATAAAACAAGCTTCCTTATACATTTACTAAATACCTTATTACCTTTCTGAAAAGGGATTTATTTTATTTTATTTTATTTTATTTTATTTTATTTTATTTTATTTAAAAAAAAACCCAGTTTAGCATTGCAGAATATTTTCATTTTGCTTTTTTAGCCAAGCCATGTTATTCTAGAGCAGGGTGTATAAAAGTTTTAGTTAGGGTAAGGTGTTTTGTAAATTTAAATAAATTTTTACATGAGTTAGTTACTAATAATTCAAGACCAATTTAATTAATTTTAGCTATTTAACTGTTTCAAGGAAGTTCTCTTACTTCAACTGAAATTTGTTTCACTTCTATTTCTTTTGTAAAGATCAAAAAGTGGATCTTTGAAGGTATAAGGAGCTGTTTCATATAATATTATACTAGTTGTGCCAGGAGATCAACCAAATTTATGAACTGATTTTCAAGGAAAAAATATTCTCCTTGGGATAACTTGTTACAAAGTTATCTGTTACTTGGTGTCCTGTGTGCTTCATCTGAAATTTGTACAACAAACTGTTGTTGCTGGCAGAATATCTGACAAGGTGGATCTCTAGAGTTTTTTGTCTTCATGAAATACTGAGGGCTCAATGGTTTAATATCTAGTTTCTGTGTCTTGCTGATTTTTAACTTTTTCTTTTTAAATCATCCTGATTTCTGTGGAAAGCTTGCTGTTGGGCTTTCTTGTGCTTCCCAACAGGTATAGTACTGGAATTAGCACTGTCTGCCCTGTGCAAGGCCAGGAGTTGGACTTTGATCATCCTAGGGGTTCTCTTCTAATTCAGAATACTCTCTGATTCTCTGTTCTATGAATTGTCAAGCTTTTTCCCCTCCAGTAACTCAACTGTCTAAGATAAATGGAAATGGGGGCATTTGGAGTACTTTGTCTATATGTGGGCTCCTCAGTATAAGATACTGACTTCCTGGAGTGAGTTCAGCAGGACACAAAGATGAAGGCTTTAGCACATGAGAACTTGCTGTTTTAAGATGAGCAGGCTTAGAAGGGAGAGTTTGTTGCTCTCCTCACCTATTCAGTGCAAGAATGTAGAGAATACAGGGACAGAGTTCTCTTGCAGTTGTGTGCTGAGAGTGCAAAGAGCAGTGGATGCAAGCAAGAGGATAAATTAATAATAAATATTAGGAAAACAATTTACAGTGGGGTAGTTGAACTTGGGAAGAGTTTGGCCAGAGAGGTGTGCAGAATTTTGCCAGCCAAATGGGATTGCCCAGACATGTCCATATCTCTCTTACTCTGAGATGGTTCATGCTTTTTGTAGAGATCTTTTCCTTTCTACCATCTTTTTCTAACAATTGCTGGCCACGAAACTGCATCTTTCTACTGGGATACATGAATAATGTGATATATGAGAAAGAGGTGTTTTAACACCTGTACAGGCATGAACAGACCTGTACAGCATGATGGCTTCTTGTTGAACAATTTTTAAGCTACTCTGTTAGTTTTAACAGTCTGTGTGAAGCTCTGATCTATTGGATATTCTTAACAGAACCAAACGGAAGCTAACAGGTGTTTTACACCTCTAGTTCAGAGGTGTTAACAGCAGAATCTTAGCTGTAAAAGTGCTAGGGGGAGGCTATCCAAACTGCCTCTGCAAATAAGATGCTATCCAGCCTTAAAAAAACTAAAGGCATACCATTGTGTATGATAATGGAACTGTATTTTTGGGGTAATATTTCTTTGTTTGGTATCCTCAGAAACCAAAAAGTAGCATGTTGTGTATTGGTTACAAATATTTGTTAGCAATGATGAGAACCTCTACTTTCATATACAAACTGCTCAAACTCTAAAACTTGACTGCCTAGTTTGGTCAAGTACCCATATGTTAGTGACAGTAACGTTGCTAAAACGCATTGTATTTATGTGGGTCGTGAGTATCACACATCTGATTGATGTGAATGTGAAAGCTGGTTGTGCAGTTGACATTTAAAGACTCAGCCTTACCTTTCCAAGGTATTAACAACTATCTACATTTTAAGGATTTTTAAACAATATAGTTTTAAGTACATACTCTTTTAAGTCATCAGGAAAATTAGAAATACTAACCAAGGCGTTAATGTTCAATAAGACATGCTTCTGTAGAACTCTTTAAGAGCAACACCTCTGTAGAAATCAGTGTGAAAGGATGTTAAGGGCTGACATGGTGCTGTTGAAATGCCTGTGAATGTTGCAGGCTAGTTCCTTAGGAAAATACTCTGAAACATATATTCAGTGACTACCAGTCCTACAAGTGAAATTTCTACTTTATTCTAAGCGTTACAGTCATGGGTATAATAGGGAATTAGCTGTAACTTTTATGTTCTAGTTTGGTTTGCTTTCTTTTAACAGCAAGCTGTAAGGTAAACATAACTGATAAGCAGGAGGAAGACAGATTCTGTCAGTGTCTTTTTTATTTTTCATGAGGTGATTTTGGCATGTGTAAGGAAGAATGACAGGCTCAGTGATGGATCATAAAGAACTGAAAGGGTCAGAAATGAAGAGCAACTTCGGTTGTGAAATGGTCATTAAGTGGAAATGGTCATAAAATATATTTGCTTTTTTCAAGTGAGGAGTTTGAGTTTGCATTTTTGATCTAGTAATTGTTTTCATTTTTTCTTTATTGATTTGGCAATAGAAGTACCACTGTATCACTGGTGGTGATTTACTTTTATTCTGTGAGGAAGGAATACAAATGATGATTTTTATGGCAGAGTCAAAAGTCTCCATTTCACTTTTTTAGGCATAGTAGTCCCATCTAATGTCTATAGATTGTGAATGTGTGGATGTTTTAAATCATTCTGAGAATACATCTTAACTGTGAGACTTCCTTTTCAAAGCTAGTTTGAAAATAGGGATCTGGGTAAGAACAGTTTTCTTTTCAACACAAGGATCTGGGTAAGAACAGTTTTCTTTTCAACACAACTGAAAATCCAGAAGTCAGTGTAAAATTTAATACCTAAAATTTGTTGACTTGTATTCTAACTAGTGTTTTTTGACAATCCATAGGTCTTACTCCTACTACATTGAGGTGTCCATGGATGAGTTGGACTGGATTCGGGTTATTGATCACTCTAAGTACCTCTGTCGGTCCTGGCAGAACCTGTATTTTCCTGCCCGAGTCTGCAGGTTAGTTCATCAGTGTGATATACAGTGGGCTGACACTAGAGAATGTAGGCAACAGAATGAGTTGCTGGATTTTGCTACTTAATTATGTTGTGTTATATCTCAACTTTTATCAGCTATGCTAAAAACATAGTTTATCTTAGTTCGTATAGTTTTATAATAATTTATCTTATTCTTTTCTAATATTGGAATAGTTGATACAATGCAGGCATCCAGTTTGAAATCTATGGTTTTTCCATGTCTATCTCCTTCTCCTTTTTTTTTCTTTGAGCCATACCTACCTTTTTTGTTGATGATGCTGGGTTTTTTTCACTCAGTAGTAAACATGATTCCTTGACTGTCTAAATGTTTGTGATGCACTTAGATACCTACTATAGAACTTGAAAATGTATTTTTATGTATTATGTATTTTCTACTGATGCACTGTTTTAAATAGTTGTGAAAGGGGAAAGTTAGGACTGAGGAGCTTTGAGGGATGCCTCCAATGTGCCATTTTGGGTGCCAGAATATAGGAAGGATATTAAACCTTTAGAGAGGGTTCTAAGGAGGGCAGTGAGGATGGTGAAGGGCCTTAAGGGGAAGCCATATGAGGAGCAGCTGAGAGCACTTGGTCTGTTCAGCCCAGAGAAGAGGAGAATGAGGGGAGATCCCACTGCAGTTACACCTTCCTTGTGAGGAGGGGCAGGCACTGATCTCTTCTCCGTGGTACCCAGTGACAGGACGCAAGGGAATGACCTGGAGTTGTGTCAGGGGAGGGTCAGGTTGGGTATTAGATAAATGTTCCTCACCCAGAGGGTGGTTGGGCACTGAAACAAGCTTCCCAGGGAAGTGGTCACAGCACCAGCTTGACAGAGTTCAAAAAGTGTTTGGACAATACGCTTGGGCACAAGGTGTCACTCCTGGGGATGGTGCTGTCCATGACAGGGACTTTGTTGATCCTTATGGGTGCCTTCAGCATATTCTGAGATTCTGCCATTCTGTGAAAATGAGTAGATGTTTTTTAAACTGTAAAGGTTTTTTAACTGTAGGTATTGGGAGTTCTGCAAAAAGCTGATAATCGCATTGGAGCAGCCTTATTCAAAAACTGAATTGAGCTAATTGATAGGGAGGATACAACCTGTAGATACCAAAGATGCTGTCATCATTAGGTTTGGGTCATGGACCCTGAGAGGAAATGACCTGCATTGTAATAATTATTCTGTAGACATAAACTTTTTAATTGGCACAGCAACTCTTGGAATCTCCATGGAGAGAAGTGCTTTCTTTTTCCCAAAGAAATCCTGTTCTTTTCTATAAATCTCTGTTCCTCATTATCATACCCACAAAATGGTTGGGAATTTCTTGGAGGTGCAGCTTATTTGAAGAATGGAAGAGCTAAAAATAAAGTCGTGTAGCAGCCTAAGTTTATGAGCACTTATTGTTAAGTGCTCAATAAGGAGCAGTAACCTTAAGGCAAAATACAAATTCTCAGCTGAGTCACCATAATCATTAAATATAGTTTAGATAAGATTTTCTGTAATCTTTATTTACACCAGAGAATTGAAGGCTCCATTGTGGAGTTCAACATTAAGAATTTTTTATTTAATTATATTAATATAAATAGTTAGGTATTACTTGAAGGTTGAATCTCCTTTGATTGGGAATTTTGATCAAATTCCCTCCAGGAGAGAGGCTTTGAGCAGGGGAGGCTGTGTACACATAGATATTAGTATTAGACACTTACTTATCTGTCTTTTCATCAATAATTTGTTCAGAAGGAAGTAAGCATGGACCACTAAACTTTTCTTTTGTATCCAATTTCAGTGTTTTGTGATAATGTATTTAAAGTAGTTCTGTTTACTTAAACAAGTTAAATTAGTTATTTCCAGTATACTAACATACACAAAACAGAAATCCTAATATATGTAGCATTTTCTTGACACCTAAAAAAGAGGTATTCTCCAGTCTTGTGAGCACAGATTTAAAGTATGGGATTGTCAAAATGTATTCCTTTAATATTTGATATTCTGTTTCACAGGCATGTTGTACATACTTATCAAGGGGCAGATATGTTTCAAGGGTTTTATATGCTCTATTTTGCTCAGTGCTGCTTCTGTTGTATAGTCTTGTTTTAGTGTCTCAAGTCCCAGTGCCAAAATTTTCCTGTTAATGGATAGCAGTACAGAGGAATGGAAGTATTGTGTTATGTTCTGTCTTCTTGCCATTAGTTTTGGCATTTTACTCTTTTTGTCTTACTGATGTAGGTAATATTTTTGGAAGCAACCACTTTGGGAACCATGCTGCATTTTTTTTTTAAGTTTTGAATGCATTTTTAATAGATAATCATGGACTGAATGCCTTACCAGGAAGGTCTTCAACTAGGTGGTGGTTTGGGTTTTTTTTTAATTTTAAAAAATTATTTTAACTCAAAGTGCTTTATGAGGTCACTGTGTAAGATGTCATTTTGAAGTGCAACAAAGAATTGAAGAGTATAATTATTGGCTGGGGTTTTTTTATTTGCATGCCTTTTGCCAAAATCAAGGAGTAGAACATGTACAGTTGTCTGATACACTAGAGCAGTTCTTCATAGATTATAAACAGGATATGAGCCCTGCAACATTAGGCAGGGTTAGTTGCTTTTTTGAGTTACCTTTCACATAAATATTAGTTGTAAAAGGTGAGAGCTGTCAACATCTAAACTGATATGTTCATCTCAGTTTTAAGAAGCTATTCAGACATTTCCATGGGCATAAAAATTGATGGAGTGTGTCTTTTATTTGCATGTGTAAAGGTTGGGGTATTTGTCTTTTTGAAAACCTGTGACTTTCCTCATAAGCAAATCTATCCATATTCCCTCTTAAGCAAATCTATTCATATTCAATTCTACAATCAATGCCTTTTTCACACAAGCTGGATGAAAAAGACAACCTTGTAGCCATTAGTTGTTAAATAAATAATTTATACAACAGTGAATTAAAACCAATTCAGCCTCCTTAATGAATCATTTGTCATATGTGTCATAGTCTCTGTCATGATTTGATTTTTTTGATATGTGGAGTGTTATGGAATATTTACAGTAGTGTTGGAGTTAGGGGCATTGTTGTGCTTCCCATGAAAGATGATTTGTATTTGGCAAAGTGCATATCAAACCATCCAAACTCATTAGGCAAAGTCAAGTAATGTGATCAGACTATTTACACTCTTGGCTTCTGCCTGTTGCTTACATGCTCCAGTCTGTCTTAATGTGTTCAGAGTAACTTTTGCCAGCCATAACCTCTGTCAGATTAGTAAGTGAAAAAATGTGCAAGGGCAATAACCCAAGACTGAAATCGGAAAATAAAAAGATGAGAAGATTGTTTGTGCTTTCTCACACTCCTCAGATCATTTGTATTATTTGTAGGATGCAATTCCTGATTTAGATAAACAAGCTAATTTGTACAATGATTGCTTGTTCAGTGTCAAAGCTTGGTATAGCAAGTAACAGGGTGTTGCTGTGTTTAAAGGGGTTTTAGTAAAAGAAAATATTGAGTAAAACATATATGGGGGTTTTATTGATGTGATTGTTTTAGACTTTCAATTTTTGCTTTAAATCCTTCTAGAATACATTATTCTACCATCTTTGAGAATTGAACAATCATATACTGTGCAGAAAAAGCAAATAAGAGAGTGGGATTACAGGGTTGTTCTCCCCCCCCCCCAACCTTTTTTTTTTCAATACAGTAGTGTATTTTTTTAGAATTTCTTTTGGTCCTGTTTTCTTTGTTTACACTTTCATATCAACTTTCATGTAAAGCTGAAAACTCTTTAGAGAGAAGACAGAACACAGAAAATGTTCCTGTGGAAGTTAAGAACAAGTGTCAGGTTCATAGTTATTCCATATTCCTCTTGTAGCAGTGAATGTTAAAAATGCTAAAGATCTTTGAGCAGGTAATGCTGTTTTCTGTCTTACTCTTCCCACTTTTTTCGTCCTTTCATTTTTGTTTTGTGACTTCATCTTTTTACTTCATTCTTGACCACATTATTTGAAGAACTGCATTAAAAGAATGACAAGAAAATTTTGAGGTTTCATAATAAGGCAGATGTAGCCACAAGGTGTCACTCCAATAAAAGTTTAAAAGACTTAATTTCTTTCCGTTTACACTCCTTTGATGAAAGTGTTTTTCCTACTGTGTGCTTTTTTTTGTGTATTAAACTTCCCAGATTTACAAAATCATTCTGATCTGCTCTTTATGCTCTAGATTGAGCAAGTACAGAGTTAGTACTTAAAATCAAAAAGAAACATTCAATTCATTTTCCATCTTTAGTTTGACATTGGATGATTCTGTGTTTTGATTGGAGAAGTATTTCCCTGACCAGACCAATTTATAGTCTGAAATCAATCCTATTTTATCAGTAATACCAACATTCAGAAAATATATTGAAATGGTAAAGAGATCAGTTTTCGTCTGTATTTGCTATTACTGCCTTAATACTTTTTGTGATAATAATAGTGTGATTTATTAAAAGGAAATATTAATTATTTCTGCATGAACAATTGGTCCTAAACTATGTTTCTATTAAGAGAACTGGTAGATGCCTGTAGAAGCATGCTGTAAACATGGGAAATTATTTAAGCATATTGTTTTTCCTGTTTTTTTACATCTGCTTTAAGCTGAAAAATCTTGAGGTTTTCTGGTACTAATGTGTTGAATAATAGTGATATAAGGGCTCCCTGTTTCCTTTAAAGCGCATGGCTGCTGTAGAAAGTGTGGCATTAGAATTTTTTTTACTTCAGAAGGTGTATTTGTATTTTAGATGTATTTATTGGTGCAGAAAAAAATACTTGCCCTTCCTTTTATTAAGCATTGATGATACTGGGTGGATTTTTCATTTAGTTCTTCAACAGTTTTTGCTACTAATGATTACACTATTTGTAATCCTCTGCCTGAGTGAAGACAAATTAAATTGTAGACCATGTCTTCTGAACATTGAAAAAATACAAGGAGAGTAAATTTTTCAGTACTAAGGTAGTTCTAAACTCAGAC